CTCTCAGCCACATACCCACATAGTTAAAACTCAAGAGAAAGCCAAAAGCTGAAAAAAAAAAAAAAAAGAACTTTCTGAATGTTTCCCATTTGTTGTATACAAATGCAAACATTTTATTCCACTGAGAAACAGGACGGATGTAACATTTCACGGACTCCCACCATATTTGAGGCACTGCTCTGGGCCACGGGGATCTAAAGGTAAGTAAAATCCCATAAAAACTGTGCCCTCCTGGAGCTGACAGTCAAATGAAGAAGAAAAACAGCCATCGACCAATTCCACAACACAGTCGGCAGTAGGTTTATCAAAATGATTGCAAAGAGTACTCTGATCACTATTCCACAAAAATCTGACCTCGCCTGACGACAGCCAAGTTTCCCCAAAGATGTGATACTTAAGTCAATATCATAATGGTAAGTCACAGTTAATTAGACAAAAGGGGAGGGGGGGGGTGGAGCGGTGAGAAATGCAGAGTTTTCCAGACTTTGAGAGCATGGTACCTTTGAGAAAAGGGGAGATGTTTGTGACTGGTGACAAAGAGAAGCCCAAGATTGAGGGCCTTTGTGAACCGTCTTCCTTGTTTTCATTTGCATCGTAAGAGTCATTGAAGTATTTTAAGCAAGAGACATGGGGAAAGAGAAGGACCTTGGTTTAATGTTGTCAGATTCACATCTGTAAAATCATTTGCGTTTGTGGGAAAAACAGGTGGCAGAAAGCAGGGCGGCATGCCCAGAATGGAGGAGAAACGCTTGTGGTAACCAATGGTGGGAGCGTAAAAACAAAACCTCCTCACAGCCCAGGAATCCTCTCCATGAAGTGAGCAGGGAAAGAAAATCCTTGTTACTGAGCAAGCATTAAACCAGACAGGGCTGCACATCGCGGGCAATCCGCTACGGAGTTGCCGAGGCAGAACGGGACCTCTCTTGTATCCGGCTATTCCCCGGCACCGGCCACCAATCCTTAGAGAACTGGGACCCGCGCGTGGTTCGGCGACCCCAGGGGAAGATTCCAGCTGCATGGGAGACAGCAAAGATCATCACCATGGCAGCCACCAGGAACGAACGTCCCAACACTTCCGCCCACTGCAGCCACCACAGGGCGATATGCCTGCGTGCACCCCTCCACGGGTGCAGTGAAAGGGCCCCGTCCCCCCCTTCACAGAAGACAAATAGAGCAGGAGGCTTGGACAGGTGTCATATGATGCACACACTTGGCGTGAAGATCAACGGACCCTCGTGGAGCCCAAAACAAGGAAAGACAGTCCCACTCGAGATGATAAAACCCACACAGCTGTGTGGGCCCCTTAGGTCTCCGTAGGAAGGTTCTAGCCCCAGGCCTGTTCCTGTGCTGCCAGAAGACTGTGCGCATGAGCCTGCCTTTCCCAACAGCCAAGCAGACACAACCCGTCACACACGGGTTCTCAGGATAAATAATTAGTCCTTCAGTGAGAGGACCGGCCAGCACTACTGGTTACACGGAGTCCAGCCTAACTTTACCGGGTAACTGGGGGGAGACCACCCAGGCTCGCGAACTGGCTTCACCCAGGGGAAAAGAACACACTTCCCCGATCTTTTTGACAGGGGGTGGTTGCGCAGTTTGAAGCAAGGCACCCCCTAAAATCCTGTTCCTCCTTCCCCCACAAACCTGGAAATGGGGGTGCCGGTCTCTCTATAGGCTTACGTTTCAAAGAGATGGTTCCCAGGTCCTTTAGAAAGACACGTGAAATTGACCAAAGGCCCATCAAGTTTTCAAACAGAAGACCAAGGACGTACAAGTTGTCCAAAGGAAATGCGCTGAGAAAAAGCAGGAGGAATCTCTCGAAGAGGAGAACCAGGCCTCTTGTTTTTCACTTGTTTTTCTCCTCACACTGGTGCAAGAGAAAAGACAATGCATTTCTAAAAGGATGGAGTGTAGGGGAAGAATAATATCCTTTGAGCTTAGGGTCACAGAAATCACTGAGGACTTTAACCAAGCCCGTGACTACGACGTACTTACAGCAGAAGCCGGACAAGCCAGACACGAGCGGCAGGTAACAGCAGCCCAGGGGTTGGAAGGAGCGGGCCAAAGCCATTAGCGCTTCCGTGGTGACACTCTCCTAGTTTGCTTTTGCTCCTCTAGATGCTTCTCAGATCTCTCTTCTTATGCCTCTACCTTGAATGTCTGTCTTCCTCTGAGCCCTGCCCTGGCCTTTTCATCCTCTTCCACGCTTTTCCTCCGTTGTCTCATCCACTCGTCTGACTCCAAGTCTCAGCTACAAACTGAAGACTCTTAATCTGTTTCTCCTGCCATCCATCCATCCATCCATCCATCCATCCATCTCTCTCTCTCTCAAACTTGGACTCATAGATAAACACACCTACTGGAAAACTCAACTGGGAGTTCACAGTCATTCCAAACTCATCAGGTACACGTGGCACTCACTGTTCTCATCAAATACGTTCCTTCCTCCACGTTTCCTGTCTCAGAAGATGGCGGCACCATTCACCCAATTGTTCAAGACATTGATATTCTCTGGTCTGTCACCAAATATGAAATCCATCCAATTTATCTCCTTCATATTTCACATCCGTGCATGCCTCTCCTGACTGAGACTGACCGGCAATTCCTCAGACTGGCCGTCATTTCTCTCATGGAGATTATTCCAAAAGCTACCTAACTGATGCTCTTTTCAGATCCATTCTCAAAAATTCAGCCGGACTGAATTACAATAACCCGAACGTGAGAACAGATATAATTTTTTCACAGTGACATTGGTGTCAGGATAGAGCGCTTGTCTTTAACATGGTTTGAAATGACAAGTTCTTGAAACCGGCAGAGTGACCTCCCTCTGGGAGCTCAGCTGTCCGGATGCTGACACTTCTCTAAGGGCAAAAGGCAATCTTGGCCCAACCCCCCAGGATCCTGTGAGACTTCTTTAGCATAACAAAATCCCTTTGGAGACTTCCTTTATCTCTACCCCCCCCCCCCCAAGATATATGTTAGCAATTATTCTCCAAGCATGTGGCCCACTCAGAGACCTCTGAAGGGTCTCATGACTGAGGTTTTACCGGACAGTATCAAATGACCTTATTCCAACAACAGCTAACCTCAAGGTCCTGGAAACCTTATTTCCCAAATTCCCTAAAGGCCTGTGCTGTCCCTAACTCCCTCCCAACCTGGACGTATATGATCAGCCACCCCTCAGCACCCCAGTGCAGCTCTTTCTGCCCACGGGTCCTGTCCCCAGGCTTTCAGAAAAAGCACCGTTTTGCCCTGAAGACATCACAAGAATTCTTTCTTGGTCATCAGCTCCAAACCCCAACTCTTCCACATCAGTGTGGGCCCTGTTTCAGTGTTAACTATCATCCTCCCAGTTCCCATGTAAGGCTTTGACCTTAGTAGGCAATCAATAGATATTTTCATATAAAAGAGAAGGAAGGAAGCAATAAAACTCTTAGGCGGAGCAGCCTTGGGACTGGTCATCAGGGAATTTTGCAAATGCGTAGGATGCTGCCCGGTAGCTGAGACAGGATGAGATTGATTTACAGCGTAAAAGGCAGGGGGAAGGCAGGCTTCCTAACTGCTCTTCGTACCTGGAGGCAAATACATCTTGCTTTCTTGAGCTTGAAATTAGAAAGAGAATTAGCTGTATTAAAGCTCTAATAATAAAAACACATCTACGAGTGACACAAATGGTCTCTGTTTACATGGGTGTATGACAATTAAGAAGATGTGACAGTCTGCAATAATTCACGGCTCAGGTGTTTTGTGCAAATGCGACAGAGAAAAGGATGCCACCTTGGCATTAAACAGGGTTCTGACCTTGGCCGGTAAAATATTAAATTTCAAGTTTCCTTGTACAAATCTTCTCCCTGGATCTTTCCCATTTAAGTACTTTAGTATCAAACTAGAAAATAAAGTAAAGGAATCTGAGCCTTCTCTTTTATTTAACTCACGGACTCTTGTGAATCAACTTCAGAACTAACCACGTCTCCCCTGGCTCAGCCAGGTACGAAGCAGCAATGGCAGGATGGGGTCAACTTAGGGGGCATCCCCTGCTACCCCATGTCACCAGCCCCGTGGCATTCTGACACCCTTCAAGAAGGGAATCTCTTCACACAGTGGCTGCTAGCCCAGTGGGTATTGAGATGTTTGCTCTCCAGTGAGACTATCCTTCAACTTCAGAACGCCCATGTCTAACATGTTGGCATAGTTAGTAGATGTACCCAAGTCAGGGACTTCTGGGAGGGAGAGGGAGGGGGAGAGAGAGAGAGAGAGAGAAAGAAAGAAAGAAGGAAAGAAATATCTGGTGGGGATTTTCCTCAGCAAAATAATTACTCCTTCCAAGATGCACTCAGCAAAATAACTACACCTTCAGAGTCACATCTTGACGTGACGGAAACAGAAAACATTCATCAAGTCAGATTTTTTTTTTCTTCTTTGGTTTTCCATTGAGGGACATTTCTATAATCGGTAGGTTTGTTTCTAATATATAGGAATCTTTATAATGTGGGGGGGGGGTGCGGATATTGCTTTGGCAAGACTTTGCCCGGGTCTATTTTGCTCCCGGATTAACACTGTGGCCGAGGGACGTTGCTTTCTACACGACTTGGGTGAAAATCATTGCTCTTTCTTGCATCTGAAATCACTCTGCTGAAACTTTAGCTCTGTTGGACCAAAGTCCTAGTTTTAGACTTCAGCCCGGCCCAATTTATATGATAGTATACTCTCAGGCAGCGCATCTTATCCTTACTTGGAAGCTGGGGCGGGTGTGTCACATTCTCCCTGCCCACAACTTCCTTTTGAGGTAGCGGCAGCGGAAGCACATTATGCCCCGAGGGTGTCACACTTTCCTTTCCCACCACTTCCTTCCAGGTATTGGAGGAAGCACATTATGGCCCCGGAGGCCGGAAGCGGCCGGTTCTCACAGCCCCGGGAACAGAGCTGCCATTTTTGTTTGGGCTGCTGAGTCAGGAAACTGACATTCTCCTGTTGTGCTTTTAAAAGTATTTGCTCTAACTTCATTTTTTTTCCCTCTGACAGCTGAAGCAGAAAGGTGGATTAGCTTTCTTGATTCCAATTATCTTCCCTGTAGTATATTGCTGATACGCTACTGTGTCAGATAACTTATGTGAAGTAGAAGAAAATGTCACCTAGTAAATGTGACAGAGCTGGAGGGAGGGCTTGAAAGGTATTTCTTGTCACTGATGGGGCTCCAAGAACGTTTTTAAAGACAGGTAGAATTCACTTGAAATATCTGAATTGGATTTTTTTTTCCTGCCAAATTGGCTGAAAGATTACCATGCACATGTCAACTTTTGCTTTTAGAGAAGACCAACTGAGATCGTCGATGTTGTGCTCAACCTGATTTCCTTCTACATCTGGATATGAGAATGGAAGGTGTTCCTCATGACACCTGAGTTTTCCTCTGTTTGTTTGTTTGGTTCACATCGTCAGACAGGAGGTCATATCTCAGAAAGACGGGGTTGTCACTGCCTTAAGGAGATATCTGGGACAACGGTTAGTATCTGGTGACCACGTGTGTCTTTGTGTTTATGTTTTTGTGTCCTGAGGTGGTAAGAGGAGGCTGAAGTGCCTGTGTGCTCATTCAAAGCCTTAAAAAAAAAATTAATGTTCATTTATTCCTGAGAGAGAGAGACAGAGAGAGAGACAGAGCATGAGCAGGGGAAGGGCAGAGAGAGAGGGAGACACAGAATCTGAAGCAGGCTCCAGGCTCTGAGCCATCAGCACAGAGCCCGATGAGGGGCTTGAACCCAGGAACCTGAGATCATGACCTGAGCCGAAGTCGGAGGCTCAACCCACTGAGCCCCCCCAGGCGCCCCAAAGCCTTTTGATTACACAGAACTGCCTGCAGTTTCTGACTTTTGTTATTTGTGTCATGATAGCTTATTATTCAAAGTTTTAAATGTACAACTTTTCTTGTTTTCCCTGATGAATCACCTGTATCTTTTTACCACGTTGCGAGAATTTGAATCAGAGTTAAAATATAAAACGCTGCCCGTATTTTTGAGACAAGGACACCGATCTGGAAACTTTGTAAGAGGAAGAAACCACGTCCAGAGGTCAGATTAAAGAGGAAAGCGGGTAATTACTTACATGGACGAGACAGAAAGGGGCTGCAGGGAGTTAAACTTGAGTTCTTGGCCTTATGGACTTTATCACCGTGTCGTAGTGTGATATCAGGATATCACGGTGACATAAAACCACTAAACAAAATTTTGTGGTTTAAGCCAGGGCTCTCTGCTAGTTCTTCACAGAATGAAAAGCAAAGACAAGAAATGTTTCTGACCTGCCAGAGGGGATCGTGACACGATCCACGAGGCAAGACTGCAGCTCGCTTGATTTGTTCACCGTTTTCCATCCAAAAACTTCTGAATCATTCTCAGCACCATAGTGAACATACTCCTTTTTCCTTTCGTGACAGATGTAGTCCTGCAAACGTAAATAATCTCAGGCCCTCACTCTCATTTAGTTGATTACTAGCATTTCAATAAAAGCAAAACATTCTCGGTTGAGGCTCTTGACTTGAGTTCCTCTTAGTATGTAGTCGGTCTGTAACAATGACCTCCGGTCCCCAATGCTCTTCAGCTCAGTCCTTGAGCATCGCCACAAAAAGAAAACCGCCCTGATCATTCTCAAGATGTCTCGCCATGAGCAACAAGCCTCCTCAACCGAGTCAGCCATCAACACGGCCCTTACTGGAGCCCTGTAGAGACGGTCAATTTTATCACTTAGGGTAAGAGTGAGCAGAAATGGGAGATGATGTGGGGTGAGTAGGAAGAAGAAAACAGAGCAGGAAACCAATGGTACTTCCTCTAACATCTGCAAGAGACCTGGGGAAAAAGTAGACAAGCAGGGAAAAGCAAGCTTGCAGAGCATCGAAGAAAGACTTGCCAATTCAAAGTAACTTTTTCTCTGTGTGTTAGCTGGCTGACATTTCCCCCTAAAAACACCCTTCTCTGTCCTTCACAGCACACCTCAGGCTCTGAGCAACCAGGTTTGATCCGCAAGATGAATTAAGAAAACCCTAGGGACACAGAGGGAAACAGACGGTTATCTACAGAGAGATAGATTACACCTCCAACTTGAAAATATGTGGCTCCTTTCTAGGTCAGCTCCTGTGCGAACAGGACTCGCCTGCTCCCTGATTTTTCCTTCAGGAAATGTGCTTCTGCTGAAAATGTGAAATGAGCAGGAATTTAGGAACAGGTGAGGGAGACGAGTATGTATTTACTAGAAATAATACTAGAAAAAAATACATGTATTCTTTGGTAAGAGGGACATGTGTATATTTTCCTGGGAACATTTACCAGGTTTCTGCCCAGGTTCAGAAAGGTCAACTAGTCCAAAACTTGATATGGCCCGCGCAATGTGAAATTTGACGCAACTGAATTTCACGGGATGTAGCCCAAGCACTAAGCACAACAGGTTCCGTTTATTTTCTGAAAGTGTCCTTATAAAATTAAGGCTTGCTTTTAACAAGCGAGAGTCAGTAGTCCTGCAATCTTGCTCTGCCTCTATCATTATTTTCTGTGTATTTACCAGCCAAACATATGCACAGCATGTTACGCATATGCGTGACGTGGTTGTGAGCAAACATGGCATCCGAGTTGCCAGAGGCCGTGTGTGGGAGGCGAGGCTGAAGGGAAGATGGTTTGTGAACTGAGTGCACAGCTCAAGTACCCAAGGGAGGCCAGAAACAACTCTCTCTACACTCAGGAAGACTGATTTTGGTTTTTGTCTTGAGTGCATTAAGAAAGAGGAAGCGTACACACATACAAAGAGTATAGACGCGACGCACCATTCTCCGCCACCTTGAATTGAAGGCAGGTGGTATCGCCAGGATGATGAGAAGTCCCGGGCATCTCTCCTTTGTCCTAGGTAACGTAGGAGTCTAGAAAAGGTAAATACCTGCCGGGCCAGAGACACAGCCCTTCCCTTCCCAACCAGCCTTTCAGAAGAGTGAGGATCATCCAAGGGGGCAGCCCGTGTGTCTGTGCAGCAAGACTCCTGCTTGCACCGAAAAGGAAATTTAGCTGAATATGTTTATCCTTCTGAAAAATACAGTCTGAAGAAAGCAGGCTTCAGCTCCTGAAAGACCTCGGTACATGTCAATGATTTAAAAAGTACACTCCCAATGCCACATCAAGGACCGTGCCTGCTAGAAACAGCTCATTTACAATCTGAGGAAAACGGTCAGAAATAAAATGTGGGAATGGAGCTTTAAAGACATCTTACCAGTTGATTCTTGATAGGATTGATGTTAAAAAGTTCTCGCGTTAATGATATTTATCACAATAGCACAATATGAAAGCATCAAGGTCACTTTCCAAATAGCATGTTGCTTTCCAGAAGTGTAAATATGACGGAGTGTCTAGAAACTGCCTAACAGTGGTGTTATCATAAATTCTGATGATAAATGACTTTCAGGCAGTCCTAAACATCCCACAATGGGCTCTAATAATACTGAGGGAAAATTTTATGATGAATACAAATCACCCCTAAAACCCATAATACATCAAGCTGAGTAATATCACGATGAGAGGGGAAAGAAAATGAAACTTTAAATAGGCATATGCTTTTATGTACTTTGATTGGATTTGCATTCATTCTACCCACTCCCTCAATCCAACAATAAATATTATGGTGGAAAATAAGAAAATATCGTAAACCTCTCTCTGAAAATTTGATTTGGAAACCAAACAACAAATATAACATCGCTATTGTCAGATATTTACATTTTAATTTTTACTTATTAAGTCTGGTATAACGATAAGGCTTTAACACATGCTCCCTTCTGAAAGGACATTTCCGTGGATTCTCCTTTAAACCTTATAATAATAAGGGGTAGGAAATTTGGTTCCTTGCAAATTGCACACTAGCCTTATCAACTATGCACATGAATTAATTCAGGTTGCACATTAGCCTTATCAACTACCCGTGATGCACATGAATTAATTCGGGGGCTGCTCTTCTGTTTAATATTTCCGTGTAGAAAACAAACCCCAAACTTAGACGTGTTTCATTCTGCTCGAGACTCTGTGGATCAGAAGCACGGGAGGGGCTGGGCTGGGCGGGTCTCACTGGAGATCCCTGAAGCAGGTTTGGTCCGGATGCCCACTGGGGCTTTGGTCGTTGGGGGGGGCTCTGCTAAGCGAGGTGTGCCAGAGGGTCACTCTAGTGGCTGCACTGGACACTGGCTGTTGGTTGGGTATCAGTGGGGGTTCTCTCTCTGGATCCCCCAAAAGATGCCTCTCCACCATGGTTATCTGAGTGTAGCGGGACTGTTTCTATGAAGTCTGACTTCCCTCAACAAGAGTCTGAAAATAGGGCAGAAGGCACAGACTTTTCTGATCTAATTTGGGAGATCACATGGCACTTCTCCATTCATTAAAGCAGTCCCAAACTCTCTTCCGGGTCAGGTGCATCAAATAATTTGCAGCCTTTTATTATACACCAGTATAGTCCCCAAAGTCACCCTTCCCCTCCAATTTCATTTGAGCCAAATATATCTCACATAAATTTATGATAAATTTTCTAATAAAACTAAAAAAAAAAAGTCATTAAACCAATCCATGTCTTTGCAGGTAAGATATGTTCTAGGTGGTTCCATTGAGTAATTTTAAGATAAGGCACCTGCTTAATTTGCTTTTTATGTTCCAAATAAAACAATTTTGATTAAGCAAATGCCATTCCAAATCGGTCAAGTCCACAGAGAGTAACTATAGGAGAAAGTGATAATTCCAAAAAGAAAACAGGATCACAGCGCTGGCTCTTAGTAACTGCTGTTGCTCAGTATGTCAGCTTAGTGCTTTTCTGTGGCTTACAAAATAGTTAATTTTTTAAAATAATGACAGTTCAGGGGCGTGTGGGTGGCTCAGTCGGTTCAGTGTCCAACTTTGACTCAGGTCGTGATCTCGTTCGTGGTTTGTGGGTTCCAGCCCCGCGTCGGGCTCTGTGCTGACAGCTGGGGAGCCTGGAGCCTGCTTCAGATTCTGTGTCTCCCTATCTCTCTGCCCCTCCCCAGCTCACACTCTGTCTGTCTCTCTCTCTCAAAAATAAATAAATAAACATTTAAAAAATAAAATAAATAACTGTTGAGTTCTTCTAGAAAGAAAATAGCTCACCTGGTTGCACTTAAAGCATTCCCTTAACTAATGTTACTACGCAGGGAATTATAAGACTGCCTGTCTCTGTATCCTCCGGAGCTGATTCAACATCTTCCAGACAATGGTACCCACACACAATGGGCCACTCCATGTATTAATTATTTCTTAATTTCAGCCATGCTGCTTAGAAATGATAAATGGGAAAAGCCAGTGCAATGAAATATAAGATTTATAACTTGGTCCTATGCATTCATTTATATTTATGTTCCTTGTCAAAGTTTCTGCAATGTTTCCTCAGATTTTGAGGCTTTTGAGCCTCACGACATCATTATAAGGTAGAGAGGAGGAGTGTTTCCATTCACACTTTGATGATAATTCTGTTAAGATTCATAAAGGCCAAATGACTTGCCCGCGAAGCCCCTAAACGTTGGCGAAGGGAGCTCAAGATTGGGGTCTGATTCATCCACTAGTCTTTCCATCAAACTAGTCCCAGAAGAGGACAAACCAGACATTGCGAAAGGGAGATTTTGCTGGTTTGCTTACGTGGCTAGTGTAGGTCTGAGCTGTTTCAAGAGCCCAGGTCATATGGAGAACCAAAGGTGTTGCAGGACAGAAAATGTGTGGTCAAGGAAAAATGGGGGAAACAAAACAAAACACATATCAGCCCAAGAACCGCGGAATAGTCAAGTAACTGCTGATATACCTTCGCGTCTCCCATTAAGCCTTCTCGGTGTCACACACGAGGACCGGGCCTCTCCTGTTTTTCCACTCTTCCTCTCAAACTGTCTGCATCTAATTAGTAACTTCTCTCCATTCTTCTTGAGTTTAGAAGATGATTTTCCCCATTAACACAGGCTTTGAGGAAGAAATGGAATAGCCTACAAGATATGATGGCAAATATGTGAAAGTATGCTAGTGAAGGAAAATATGTAAAAATAGACACGCTTGTGGTAGTCAGGGCTCTGGGGAGATACGTTGTTGTTTTTAATGTTATTTCACATATTGTATTTTCAATTTAAAAATAAACTCCATCCACTCCTCAGAGTCAAGCATCAAGGAAAACAAAGACACGGAGAACCTGGGGAGCATGAAGGTATGTACACGACCTGTTTCCTAAATGACGCTTGGAGAGTTTTGCTCTAGCTTGTATTTTTGGTGACCTTTTACAAGCAGGTGGTGGAAAAGTGGATTACACGTGGCTCCAACATTGATTCTATTCAAGGGAGTATAAGTTTGAGTCCCCAAACCCCTGTGTGCTAAGAAATCTTATTTACTGGAAGACAAATTAAGTTAGTCTGAGCCCCATTCTGACAGCCTGGAGGTGAATTCTATTCCGGTCGCTACTGGTGTCTTTCTTTGCCAAAGTCCTCAGAGTGCCTGGGGTATATGCGGACTCACGCTGAGCAGCTGGGGATGCTCT